GAGGCCATCTGGGGAGTGAACCAGCGGATAGAAGACCTTTCTTTCTCTCTCTGTTTCTGCCTCTCTGTAACTGCCTTTCAAATAAATAAATAAATTAATTAATTTAAAAAAAAACACTGGATACGATAAAACAAAATAAGCAAAATATCAGCATCAAACCAGGTGACAGATTTAGCCATGCCCTGCCTGTGAGGCTGGGGCATGCTCCTTGGCGTTTTGGTTTGGTTTTCTTCTCCTGCTGCCAGCAGTCTGGATGTTGGGGGGAACAATTCTATAAGAAATGCAGTGGGGTGGGTGTTGTGGCACAACGGGTTCAGTTGCCACTGAGACACCTGTATCCTCTATCAGAGGGCCTGGTTCGAGTCTTGGTTACTCAACAGTTCTGATGCAACTTACTGCTAACGTGCTTGGGAGGCAGCAGATGATGGTCTGATTCCCAAGTTCCTGTCACCCATGTGGAGGACCCTGATGGAGTTCCTGGCTCAAGGCTTGGGCCTGGCCTAGCCCTGGCCATTACAGGCATTTGGGGTGAACCAGCAGATGGAAGATCTCTCTCTCCCTCTGTCTCCCCCTGCCCATTACTGCCTTTTAAATACATAATATATAAATCTTTTTGAAAAAAGTAGCATCACACAGGCTCTGAGTGGCTCAGAGGAGCACATTGTGGAAAAAAACCTGGGAATCGACAACTCTTGAGTTAGAAAGTACGTAAGGCAGCTGGGGTTGTGGTGGAGTGGGCAGAGCCATTGCTGTGATGCCAGCATCCCATAGGGGCACAAGCTCATCTCCTGGCTGTTCCACTTCTGGCCCAGTTCCCTGCTAACTGACTGGGAAAAGCAGAGGAAGATGACCCAAGTGTTTGGGCCCTTGCACCCATGTGGGAGACCTGAATGAAGCTCTTGGCCCCTGGCTTCACCCTGGCTGAGTGCAGGTCATTGTGGCCATCTGGAGAGTGAACCAGTAGCTGGAAGGTACCTCTCTCTCTCTTTCATTCTCTCTCTCTGAAACTCTTGACTTTCAAATAAATAAAATTTTTTTAAAAACAGAAAGCAAATAAGGACAGCAAGAGTATTGTTTTCTCTTTCTTTCTCTCTCTCTCTCTCTCTCTCTCTTTTTAAGAGGCAGAAATTCAGAGTGAGAGAGAGACAGAGAGAGCTCCTATCCACTTGTTCACTCTTCAAATACCGGTAATGGTTTGGTCTTTGGGCTAGGACCCAAGACAAGAGCTGGGAAGATAATCCAGGTCTCCCACATGGGTGGCAGGAACCCAGTGACTGGAGTCATCTCCACGACCTTCCGGGAGCCATAGCCTGGTATTAAACCCCAATACTGCAATGTGAGGCATGGGTGTCTTAATAGGCATTTTAATCACTAGGATAAATGCCTGACCTATTTTTTCCCTCTTCTGATAGTGAGATTCTGAAATTTGGAAAAATTGAACCAGTTGCTTTAGTTGTTATCTATATTTATGCATTAAAGTGATACATGACAATTACCTATCCAAATAATTATCAAAGAGCTTTTAAAATAAACTCAAATAAAAATCAAAAGTGAATTTGTATCATAGTTTTCCCTGACATCCTTTTCTCTCTCAGTCATACACAAAACAATTGTGCACTATCACATGTAAGGAGGTTTAGAATCAATGAAAAATAGCTCCAGTTGGAGAAAAACACAATGGTTGGCTTAACAAAACCTAAGGAATCTACTACACAAGTGGATTGCTTTTACCACCTGGTGCTCTTGGGAAAACCATAACCAAAAGCTCAATATTAGTCTAAAATTAATTATATTTCAAAGTTAAATTATTTGGAAGATGTTTTCAAATGACTTACAGTTAAATATTTCAGTGTGATATTGATCCTGTAATTACCATCACAAATAACATTACCAATAGAAGTTAATGATGTAGAATCACAATGGTAGCATCAAGCAGGAGAAATCCAGGAGATGAGAAATGTCTTTGTTTCCCAGTAGTTTTGTATCCTCTCCACTCCTCTCTTCACAGTGAGATGTGCTCACCTGTCTTCGAAGGTTAGAATATTTTTACTTTTCTTGTTTGGACACATTTGGTTAACATGCAAACACTTGACTCTGAGCTGAAACAGTCATTTAATTTTTATTTGACAAGCTTTAGGGTAATAATTTGACCTCTCAATCTGTTTCTTTGGTGGCCAATTAACAACCCCCTTCCCAATGTTGTATGCTGGATGAACTGCAAGCACTTTTAAGCTTAGGAAGCAGGATACAGGGTTTCCTTGGAATTATCACCATACAAATGCAAATTAGGGGCAAAGCAAGACTCTGTCCATCTTTGTAATTGTTACTGCTTTGTACTAAGCTTCCAATAAGTAGCAAAACAACCCACTGGGGTTTTTTTTCTCTTTTGTTTTTAAAGATTTATTTATTTATTTGAAAGTCAGAATTATGGGCAGGGGGGACAGAGAGAGCGAGAGAAAGAGAGAGAGAGAGAGAGAGAGAGAGAGAGATCTTCCATCCATTGGTTCACTCCTCAGATGGCTATAATGTCTGGGGCTGGGTCATGCTGAAGCCAGAAGCAGGAGCTTCTAGCTCTCCCATGTGGTTAGCCAGGCCATTAGCAGGGAGTGGTATTGGAAGTAGAGCAGCCAGGACATGAACCAGCACCCACACGGGATGTTGGTGTTGCAGGCAGTAGCTTTACCTGCTATGCCACAACCCTGGCCCTAATCTGCTGTTTTTAAAACACACGCCTTAGCTGCAGACTTTTTCCTTGGCTCACTGAAGAAGAGAAGAAACTGTTTTCTATGAATTTTTACCCCTCTGGGTCCCACTTAATTATGATTTTTTTTAAAAATTTATTTTTTTTGAAAGGTAGAGCAAGAGAGCAGGGAGAGAGAGAAAGAGAATGAATCTTTCATCCACTAGTTCATTCTCCAAATGGCCACTACAGCTAAGGCTGAAGTCAGGAGGCCAGAACTCTATCAGGGTCTCCTACATGGGTGGCAGGGGCCCAAGAAATTAGGCCATCATTTGCTACTTCCAAAGTGCATCAGCAGGAAGCTGGATCAGAAACAGAGGAGCCAGGACTCAAATGGGCACTCCAATAATGGGATGCTGGCATTGCAAGTGGTGGCTTGACCTGCTGTGCCACAACATTTACCCATTTATTCAAGTATTTTCTTGGATAACGTGAAATCTTGCAGGAGTCTTACAAAATGTTTTATTTATTTTTTGGAAGTCAGCATTTCAGAGAGAAAGGGAGAGACACAAAGGGAGAGATCTTCCATCCACTGGCCCATTCCCCAGATGGCTGTAACAGCCAGCGCTGGGCCAAGACGAAGACAGGAGCCAAGACGTTCATCCTGGTCTCCAGCTGGATCAGAAGTGGAGCAGCCTGGACAGGAACCAGTGCCCATCTGGGATGCTGGTGTCGCAGGTGGCAGCTTTACCTGCTACAGCACAACACTGGCCCCAAAGTCTTACAAATTTTTTAATTGCAGAATTTGAACTTGAGCTAGAGTCTCAGCTTGCTCCTTGTATCTTCATCCCATGCTTCGGCATGACCCTTCCAGGGAAGTCTGACCAACTGTGCTCTCTTTGAAATCTTTGGTCTGGTTAACACCACATAGAGACATGCTGGAAACCAGCCCTTTTCTGTGGCACTGCTCTTGCAAGGGAGTGGAAATCCTTTGTAAACACTTGATCATGTATCAGCCAGCCGATCCATATAGCAAGCAATGTTAGGTGAATCCTTTCCTTTTTATATATTGTGTTAGTGGTCATCACAAACTGATGCCTGTACAGAGCCTCTGGTTTGGGTGGAGGACACACAGGGGCTGGGGAAGGAAGGAGGCTGACTCAGGAGGTAGAACTGACCTCACTAATGGCCTCATCTCCATCCTTTATGTGCGCTCAGAAATAGCACGTCTTTCTGTTTTGTGTAATTATTATTTAGTTACTCCCAGTAGGATTTGTAAGCCCTTTACATCTCCGTGGATTTATTTTATTTCTGAGTGAAAGTGATTTGACGATCCACTTACCATTAATGTGACTTATTGCACGGTTTGTGTGCGAGGGATGGCGGGGAGGGGGCTCGTAGAAGGGGCATTCAGGAAGACAAGACAGTCTGAATATATGATCGCCATCCCCAGGAAGACGGCTGCACACCCTTGCCCCAGGAAAACGGGCAGATGCAGCCTTCCCGTTCTATTGTTTATCGGAGCACTGGTGACGGGGTCACATTTTCAAAGATGAGTGTGTCAAATGCATGTGCGTAGCAGAGGTTAAAAGACAGAGTCGGGTACTCAGGATTTTGGAAGTAATGAATATTTTGAGTCCAAAAGGTATCGAACGGCAAAGATGATGAGGAATGACTATCCACCTAACTCCACTGCCGTCACCCTAAAATTGCAGGAACACTGAAGCAAGGCTGAGTTAGCATCGGACCCCAGAAATGGGCAGGCGAGACGAGGCTCCTCGTTAGGGTGAGGTTCCAGCCCTGTGTGTTTCGCGGTGACCTACGACTCGCAGCAGCCGCCGCCGCAGCCGCCGCCGCCGCCGCGGCGAGTGTCGACCCCTCGGGGCCGGCCGCCTACCTGGAGCGTTTCCGCAGCGCCTGGTTCAGAACCACTGGGGCGAACAGCTCCCTGGAGCCGGGCGCGGACTGCGAAACCCGACCGCGAGCCGGGGGCTCGGCGCCGCGTCCTCAGTCTCCCGCGAGCGGGAAAGCTCGCTGGGCCGCCACCCTCCGCGGGGACAGCAGCGGGGCCTGCGGGAGGCCGCCCGCGGCGGTGCATCCCGGCCTGAGAGGACTGGTCCGAGCCACTGGCCCGCAGTCTTCCTCCTCGGCTCCCGCCCCGGCCGCTCGCCGAGCCCCGCCCGGCTAAGGGGGCGGGGGCATCCCCGGCGCAAGGCCCGCCCCGCTCTCCCTGACCGCGCCCGGGCTGGGCTTCCCATTGGCCGGCAGGCTGAAGGTGCGAGGAGGCGGGGCCCGGCGCCGGCAGCTCGCGCCCGGGAAGGTCGGCCGCGGTGCGCCGGGTGCCGCGGGGAGGGCGCACGGGGACGCGGCGGGCCGGGCGGCGGCGAGCGACTGAGACACGGCAGCGGCGCCGGCGTCTGGTGTCGCCTGCAGCCCCTGCCTTCCCGGCGCGCAGCTCGCCTCCTGCCGCGGCCGCAACCTGCGGCGCCCGAGCTCCGAGGGCGCATCCCCGGGCGCTGGGCCCGAGGCGGCCAAGACGGCGGGCCGGCCGGGCACGGGGCGGCGGACGCTGTGCTGCGGGCTGCGCTGGTGGGGGGCGGCGGGCCGCGGCGCGGGCCCGGGGCCCGGCGCGTGCGGCTGGGAGGCGCTGTGGGGAGCGGGCGCTCGGGCGGCGGCTGGGGCCATGGCCGAGGGCGGCGGGGGCGCGCGGAGGAAGGCGCCGGCGCTGCTCGAGGCCGCCCGCGCGCGCTACGAGAGCCTGCACATCTCGGACGATGTGTTCGGCGAGTCAGGCCCGGACAGCGGCGGGAACCCCTTCTACAGCACCTCGGCCGCCTCGCGCTCCTCCTCGGCCGCCTCCTCGGACGACGAGCGCGAGCGCCCGGGCCTCCCGGGGACTCCAGCCGGCCCGCCGCCGCCGCCCGGCGCCCAGGACGCGCAGGATCCTGAGGAGGACGAGGCCGGCGCGGGCTGGAGCACCGCGCTGCGGGACCGCCCGCCCCCGCGCTTCGAGGACACCGGCGGTAAGGGGCGGCTGGCGGGCAGGGGTGTGGGGGCGCGGCGCGCGGATCCTGGCCTGGGAGAGTGCCGGAGCACGTACCTTGCAGATGCCCCGTGGGCGGTTTCGTCAGTGGCAGCTGTGCGTTCCAGGAAACAAATGAGGTTGCGGGAGCAGGGGATTTGAAGTGCGAGATCCCTACACTCCTGGGGGGCTCCAGATTCCTCTTGGGTGGGGGCTCTGGCAGGCGCTCTGGCCGAGGACGCGGGCGTCCAGGGACTGTCTTCACTGGATGGGCGTGTCCCAGCGTTCTACCCCGGAAACCGGTCACACCTGTAGGGGTCGGACCTCCGGAATGGGTTCAAGTTGGACTTTCCTAGGATTATTGACCAGTAATGAGGCGTGATGGGGTTGGGGAGGGCGGGGGTCGTTCGGCTCTGAGGGCCGCAGAGCTGTCGTCACCCAGGGGGTGCCAGGGGTGAGGCAGGTAGTGATTGGAGCCAGACCCAGGGAGTGGTTTAATCGGTTTAGTTTTCGCTTTAATCTGAGAAACTTTCCCTGTCCGCGCCCCTGGGAATCTTGTTGAGAACGGAGACTGAAGGGACCGGTTCAGCAGCGTTCAGGTGCCTGGTGCCTCTAGTAGGCGCGCTCAGGTGTGTTCCGCTTACCATTGCCGTGGACAAGCTGGGGGCGCCTGGAGAAGGTGGCCGGAGGGCTGGCCGCTCCGCCTGCTGTAGTTCTTCTGACTGCTTGCTTTCGCGGGAGTTGGGTTTTAAACTATCACCACGTAGCCTGCAGAAGCTCAGCGACCTTGCCCTTCGGAGAACCAGCCTCCCTTCCTGCTGCTCTTCCTCGTTGCACCACCCACCAGCCAGGATCCTAAACGCCATGTTCATCTGCACCAGTGTGCGCAGCCCGTGTTGATGAGGGCCAGGGAGTGGCTACCCTGGACACCATGCGGCTTTTCTTGTGGCTTTTTCTGGTTCTTGTTCACCGAGTCGGGAACATGGTGTATAGGAGGGCAGGCCCAAGGAACCTCTGGCAGGTGCCTGCAGCCTGCCAGGAGGCTGGTAGGGTTGGCCTGCCCCTCTCTGAAAGGAGTGGGCTGCAAATCCCTGGCAGGTTGCAGGGTGGAGGAGCTGCGCTCCAGCTGGGCTTGCAAGGTCCGGGCTCCCTGTGCAGTGTTTTGGGGCTGGAATTAAGAGTTTGAGAATTTTCAGAATCACTCAGCACAGTAATTTTATACGGCCCTGCATTTTCCAGGCTGTCATTAAGGTCTTCCTGCTGTGGACAGCTGTTTTCTGTATCGGCTCTTTAAGAATTGTACCATCGCGGAGTCCTGGGTAGACAGACTTGTGCTGTGAGCATCTGTGATCCAGTTTGCAGCTTGGAACAGCTGAGATACAAATCCACCTGGGAGATTGCAGCAAGTCTGTATCCCAGGCCAAAATAAAGAATTGTGCCAGGTTAGGCCTAGTTATGGCCCGAGTGTGCTGGTGTGAGAAGGCTGAGCACACTGTGATAGATTTTAAAGCAATCTTGTATTTCTTAGTAGCTTGTAAATGGGAACAATTCTGCAGCAGTCATTTAATCTAGCCACTGCAGCACTTACGCTCATGTAGCGCAGTATCGTGTGTCATTTGGCATTAGGTTCAAATTCTGCCTCCTGAAGATGCCCGTGAAGTCCCCACCTGGACCTAAAAATTACAGCCAAGCCCCTTAACCAAAGACATTAGTAGGTGGTTGTTGGCATTTAGACTGGCTTTGTTTTCCGTTTTTGTGTGACATCTTTAAAACCCTTTTAAATCCACATCTAATTTAGAATTTCCTCTCTGCAACACCCTCCCCCAGAGGGAAATTGGAGGTGGAGATTGGGGAGATGAGACTGGTGTCTTGTTAAGCTTGAGGTCAGATTTTCCTGAAACAATGGAATATGATTTATGGAAGCTGAAAATAGATGTAGGAATATACAGGGGTAGTCAGAGAAGGTCCTTACACTTAGCGGTGTGGAGAGAGATGGATCTGTTTATTAAGAGGGCAGGAGCACAGCCCAGCCACTATGAGAGGTATAGCCTGCTGGATTTACGAAGTGTATCTAAGACACTCTCAAAAGCGTGTGTTCCTCACTTGCAAGGAATGTAGCCTGGAGCTCTCTCTCCGGTCTTTGTCCCCCAGTTTGTTAAGGAGTGAGTGGGGTGGGGTTGGGAGAAGAGCAAGCAGGTGACACATCCGTCTGTAATCAGGCTTCATAATAGGAACTTTGTCACCGAAATTGTTGTCACTGCTGTCACTGTCACTGTCAACAAGGAAAGCCCAGAATTCTAGATTCACAAGGCTTTCTGCCTTGCTCCCATTGTAAAAACAGGTGTGCATACAGGTAAGTCAAGGTGTGTCATATGTGAGCGCACAGATGTGGAAATGTGTAACTGTACTGTGTATGAATGTGTTTTGCTCACGCTAGTTTGCACCGTGTAGGGTTCCTTCTATCAGAAAGAGGTTACAACTGCTGCTTCTGAGCCTTCTGATGCTCTAGAAACCTTTTCTGGGAGTCCCTGTACCCGAGGGAGGTAGACACCAAGACCACTGTACATGTGGCCCCTGCAGTGGGGGTGCTCACAGTAAGGAGATGCCTGGTATCCAGCTGAGAGGAGGAGGCAGCAGAGCTAGATCTGGGGCCAACCCTAACAGCAGCATTTCTGTAGCTGAGGATACCAACCAGTCTTCAAGCTGTTCTAGTCCGCCCAGCCCCTTCCTTCTGTTTTCAGCATAGTTAGTGTCCTGGTGTAGGCTGTTGGGATTGCAGCCAGCAATTACAGGTGGAGAGGGTCCTCTCGCCACACCTTGTCTTCTGTCACCTCTGCCAGATTCTGGCTATGATTTCAGGTGTGGAATCCCTGCAAGATGCTTTAAATGTAAACACTGCTTGCAGGGCTGCCGACGGGCTCTTCACCCCTGCCAGGATGGAGGGTCAGTCTGGGAGCTGCACTGCTCCCTGGGAGCTCAGGGCCCAGGACCCTCTCTTACTGGGCCTTGGCAGCAGATGTCCCTGAAACAGTCCCCTCAAGCTGTCAGCCTTGCCTGCTCACTGCACAAATAACCAACACAGCATGCGAGCTCACTCTCTGGAAACAACATGAAATTCAGGCCCGTCTGCCCTTTGGTTTTTTTAATTCCAAGCAGTCCTGTGATCTGTTCCCTCTGAAGAGGCAAAGGAACAGGCAGATTCACACATGCTACAGGGTCCCGGTCTGTTTGGCTTTGTCGGGTCCTTTGTCGTTGGGGACTGGGATCTGAGCCATTGGCTCTTTCTGTTAGAGGCTGGACTTCATCAAAGAGGTTTTCTCTGCCCATGGACAGCAGCCCTCTCATCACTCACTAGGGAGGCATGACCTTGGGAAGGGGGAGAGACACATATGGCCTTGACAATTAATGAATCTTATCTTCACAGTTTGTCCTTGGTTTATTTGGTTTAAAGCCTTTTTGACTAGCAAGTAACAAGAGAGAATTTTTTTTCCTCTGAAAATCAGATTTAAACCAAGACTGTCTGCTTTGAAGCTGTTTGTGAGCTCAGATATCTGGATCTGTCTCTATAATGTTCTGGGAAGACGCTTGCTCCACCTTTAGTGCTACCTCCGATTCTGCAACTGCAGGAGGAACTTCGAACCTTGGTGGACTACAAGAGAAACTTTGGGCAACACTCCCTAAGAAATCCAGTGCCAGACTACCATGTGCCCTCATGCCATGGCCTCACCGTTGGGCTCCTTTCCCGGTGTCTGTCTGTGTGCTAGGTGAACCAGGCACCTGGAGAGAACCAGTAGTTCTCTTTGTAGCTTGCTTTGTCATGCATTATCACACTTACTCTTCACGAGCACACTGGCAGAACAATTGCCATGTCTGCTTTAAGGAGAATACATGTGTGTCTATGAGCCACTGTCTGATGGGGGTGAGGTTACCTGGTTAAGTAATCACTATCCAACTATTCAGACTTGATTATTTGGGAAAAGTAAAACTTTTTTTTTACTAGAACTTTTTTTTTTTAATAACTATTTTACTTATTTATTTGAGAGGTAGAGTTACAGACAGAGGGAGCGAGAGACAGAGATGGGTCTTCTGTCTGCTGGTTCACTCTCCAAATGGCCGCAATAGCTGGAGTTGAGCCGATCCAGAGCCAGGAGCTTATTCCAGGTCTTCCATGTGAGTGCAGGGGCCCAAGCATTTGGGCCATCTGCTGCTGCTTTCCCAGACCATTAGCAGGGAGCTGGATGGAAAGAGGAGCAGCTGGGACTAGGACTGCCACCCACTAGAACATTTTTGAGTCAAAATATAAATATTTTGAGACAAATGTTGATTATAGTACATGGGATTGCATTTAACTTTGTTGGGGGGTGGTTTACAGTTCTTTGAGTTTTAACACATGAATAGATTTGTGTCATCAGCACCACAGTCCCCATATGGAAGAGAGGAACCTAGAATTTTTCTGGTTCCTTATTTGATCCTTGCTCTCCCTGTGTCCTGTCATGGGGGCTTGTAGTGTTTTGCAGGAGGTAGGCTTTGACACACTGCAGCAAGTTTTGAAATCTAAATCCCACCTTCCTTTTTAAGAGCGTGACTGTATATTTTTTCTTATTAGCACGTAATATGTATTCATTTTGGAAAGCAAATAAAAATGAGAAAAATGATTAAAAGCTCTTTAGAATCCCATTGCCTTTAATTAATAAGCAATAACTACAGTTGACATATTGAACCTATACTTCAGAGATTTTAGATTACATATTGTGAGGGAGACTTTTTTTTTTTAAAGACTTACTTATTTATTTGAAAGAGTTATAGAGAGAGGGAGAGAGAGACACACAGAGAGATATCTTCCATCTGCTGGTTCACTCTCCAGATGGGTGGGCTATGCTGAAGCCACGAGCCAGGATCTTTGTCTGGGAGACCTGATTTTTAAATGTAATTAATATATGTGAACATTTTCCCATTTCCATTTTTAAAAGATATTTTAGTGAATCCGTAATATTCTATGGT